TATTATACACAAATTGATAAAGTGCAAAAACTATAACACTTAAGATATATTTTTTTATGTTTATTTACATTAGGCTGAAAAAAAAAACACATTATGAAAAACCAGAAAACCCCAAATCTTTAGTTTAAAAATTGTTTTCCCCTGCAGTGTCTTGCTTAAATGCACCGTACTGTTACCAGTACAGCACAAAACAGTATTGACCCCAAAACCAATGATTTTGTAATATTGAGTCAAAATAGAGCGGCCTCTTACTGTTTAACCATTGACTTCCAGACACATCATTAATATTTTTTCAAACAGCGCTGTGCTCTAAACCTGGCTGATATTCAAACCTGGCAATCAAAGTTTAACAAGTTGCGTGTTCACTGGTGATTCTTGGCTAAAATAGTCCAGCTGAAGCCCTGATGCAATGCGCAGGTAACCCAGAAAACTGTGTAAACCTCATGATTTGCATCACTCTACTGTGTATAATAACAGTACTGCGCAAAATAAAACACCTACGACTGCATTTGTTATTTCTAAAATGTCAAAAACGCATCAAGACAATGTTGTTGTTGTTTACTGCATCAAACTGTGTGCATGTTTGTGTGCGTAAAGTAAAAAAGCATGAAAAATGAGAAAGGTTGAGAAGATGCTTTTCAGGATGCCTCATTAAATGAATCTCCGTTATCGTTGCCGCTTGGGAAATTATGCATCTGAATAGGCACATATGTTTCAGTAATTTGACAATTAGGAGTAGCTCCTAATTACAAAATTACTAAAAGCAGCAATGTGCACGTTATTGTGATTGTAACCTTGACTTTCTTCAATGAATACTGAGAGAAAATAAGCATTCTTCATTATTGTCTTAATTAAATCTAGTTAAATGAGCAGAAAAGCTGCTAGAGGTGTGAGAATGAGAGAATAACACTGGGTTTGTTTATACTGCATCACTTAGGAAATGTCTGACAACTTTATAAATAATGTAAATATAAAAGAAATCTTTACCAGAGTGCTGATATATTGTGCTTATTAAATCAATACTGTTTCACTTTAAAGAAAAAACAAACAAACAAACAAACAAACAAACAAACAAACAAACATGATCAGAATTGACTTGTTTTCCAATAAAATATAAACATACCTAATAAATTATTATTTTTTTTCCCCAAATTTCTGTTTAATGGAGGGAAGATTGTTTCAGCACATTTCAAGCATAATAGTTTTAAAAACTTATTTTTTAATAACTGATTTATTTTATCTTTGCCATGATGACTGTAAATAATATTTTACTTGATATTTTTCAAGACACTTCTATACAGCTTAAAGTGACATTTAAAGGCTTAACTGGGTTAATTGGGTGAACTAGGCAGGTTAGGGCGTTTAGGCAAGTTGTTGTATAATGATGGTTTGTTCTTTAGATTATCGAAAAAAAATTTGCTTAAAGGGGCTAATAATTTTGTCCCAAAAATATGGCCAAAACAGTAATACTGTAAAATGATTGAAACTGGAAAAATGTATTATTATATTATATAACTTTAAGCTTTGAGCTATATTATATTATAAAACTTTAAAACTATGAGCGTATCATGCTCACCAAGGCTGCATTTATTTAATCAAAAACACAGTACATATTGTAAAATTGTGAAATGTTATTGCACTATAAAATAAATGTCTAAAAATAGTTTATGATTTAATTTAACTTAATATTCCTGTGATTTTTAGGACGAATTTTCAGCTTTATTACACCAGTCTTCAGAATCACATGATCCTTCAGAAATCATTCTAATAATAATAATAATAATAATAGTACTACTACTACTACTACTACTACTACTACTACTACTAATAATAATAATAATAATAATTATTATTATTAGTAGTAGTAGTAGTAGTATTAATATTATTATTAATGGTATTAAAAGTATAATAAATAATTAACAATAAAAAAATACATTTAATAAACGCCACCTTGATGAACAGAATAATTTAAAAAAAAAAAACAAAAAAAAAAAAACTGATCTTAATCTTTTGACCGGTAGTGTATAATAAAATTATATCTCATCTATGCTGCCTAAAAATTTCTTATTATTTTTTACTGAAATACAGTGGTGTATTTATAATTGTATTTTTTTCCTCTAGTTGGCCAGTTAAAAATCATTTTAATTAGCTGAATTATTAATATGATCAATGTCAACACTGAAAAATTATTATTTTTATTATTATTATTTTTAGATTCAGTACTTTTTTCTTGAAGCATAAACTCTACTTAACTTTTTTAGGTTCATGTCTGAAAAAAACAAAACAAAAAAAAAACCCTCTGGTAGTCTTCGGTCATTGTAGAGCAAAATAATTTGGTTTTTGAAATGTATAAAAATGACAGAATCATCGGAATGATCTAAAATTCCTTGAATTTGTTGGCGTTTGATATGCAAACACACAAAAAAACATAGCTCATGACTTAAGCCTGATAATTGGTTGTTAAAAAACAGTCACACTTGTGGTCTCCATGGTCAAAAATGACAGCTGTATGAAATTAATGGAAGCTAAGCAAAAATATGAACATTTAGAGAATATTCTGTTTGACAGAATAGTTGACAGGTTTAATTTATTGTTTACTGACAGGTTTAATTTATATAATGGATTCATTATAATGAAGGAAATAATAGCAAGTTAATATGTATAGGCTTTAATACATCTTTATATGTAATACAACTCTTTTTACATTTGATAAATGTATAACACTATATTCATAGTTCACTTCAGTGATTGAATAGTATTTATTTGCTAAATTAAATAACAGCCATTATTGTTTTAACTAATTATTTTAATTTACATAATATGAGAACCAAAACCGCACAGATGTTAAAATTATCATAATAATGAAATGATGACTGAAATGGGAAACCCTAAACTGTTCACAGTCACCGACGGTCTTGATCGCCATATTTGTGAAATACAGTAGGTGGCAATAATGCTCTTAAAGAGTTAGTCGTCGCAAAAAAATAAAATAAAATAAATAAATAAATAAAAAATAGAAGACTGATCCGTCATTGACCATATATGGTTCGCCCCTTCCTAGATCGTGTGTCCTGAATTGTGTGTGCTGAAACGTGTGTGGGTCTGCAGCTGGATATATCTGGGAAATTCTGCAATAATTAAATAATAATGAAAAATTCAAAATGACAAAAATAACATTGTTTTCAATTAGGAAAAATGGATGTTAGTTACTGCATAAATATTAATTATTAGCACAAATCCCTTTCAAAATAATATAGAAAAATATTATAAAAAAAAAAAAAAAAAAAAAACAGAGGGTACTTTAGAGGCATTTGTCCCATTTTGACCGCAAAGACCACAAGTATGATTCACAAATAAGGAACACCAGAGGGTTAAATAAATTTAAAAGAGGAAAACAAGCAATTCTGACGTTTCGTATTTACTGAAAAGCAAACCAAAGACAGTGCAAACAAAGGACTTCTAACAAAATATAAACAAGAACCCTAAAACTAATAACGATGTAACAGAAAATGATCCATAGTTGACAGAACTACAGAAAAAGCAGTTCTGTCTGATCTGCTGTCATCTTGATTTATGTATCAGTGACAAAAAAAAAAACAGTCCTGAGAACGCTTAGCTTTTACCAACACCGTAAAGCTAAATGATCCATTACATTCTACAGCCTCACAATCCTCGTCTGTCCAAAGCTAGAGCTGAAGGTTCGAATAAGAGTTACCACCTTGCCTTAATTTACAACTGACGACAAACCTTCAAAACACTAAGTCATTACTGTACAAATACAATAACCAACACTGTACAAATGTCTCAAGTTCTACTGCGATACAATCTTTTCCTTTTCCATCACACCGTTACCAAGTGCAAAACAAAGCACTGCCTAGAAATATGAAGCGAGAAAACTGAAAATGTTTGTACTTTTTTTAAAGCACCAGCATGTTTTGTGGACTACTTTTTACAAGGGGATCGTGATTATGGTGCATGAAATGACATGGTACTTGTATGGTAAAAGATTTTCGCCTTCATTTTGTAATCTGATCATACATAGTACACTCAAAAGAAATGACGTTTGCTATTTGTTCAAACTACTTCAATAAAATTAGCTGAAACAACACAACTCGTCGGTTTTTTGAGGGTGGAAAACCTAATTGTTTTATGTTCAATCTACTTAATTTTATAAAAACTACAAAGTCAACTTAATTCCTTCATGTTGTCCCAACACAAATTGATTGTGTGGAACCCCAACAGTTGGGGTGGCCTATATTTGAACAAAATATGGGTAAAAAAAACAACAACCCAAAATAGCATTTTTTTTAGAGTGTATAGATGTGTTATCTATATGTATTGAGCACTCCGTCCAGTGTGGTCTTACTAGTTTTATGTGGGTATTAATACGTAAATTGTTCAACACAGGCTCATTGGAAATACATGCCTCAGAAACATACGTTGACATATGTTTGACAGCAGTTTCATGGTAATATGAACGCTATGGGGCAGTATGACAACAAATGTTGTTTCTTTTCACACTACTGACAGGGAGGATTATTTTCACTCAATTCGTCGCAAAATTGGTACCACAAAACAACTTAACTGTGCAGGAAAGACATGTATCTGAAAAGTATAACAAAATTAACCCAGAGAAACGCATTTCAGATTTGCAGAAATGTAGACAGCGCCCTCTAGTGGATTTGTTATTTGAAACGTGTAGCGAAACGTACCCAGAGGAACGTTTTCACGTTTCGCAAAAATGCAAGCTGAGATACATATTTCCAATAAGCCTGGGTTGCTTTTCCTGAAATGCTCTGAAACGTACAATTAGGATATATTGAAACTTATGTAAACATTGTGTATTTTCTGTTAAAAGTAGTGATAAATGATATATCTGTCGTCATCAGCCGATATATGTTTAAAATGATAGCAATAAAGCATTAAAAGTCAATAATTCCTCTTCGACCACAAAACCTGATCATGACCATTTCTTTAATAAATGACAGACCAATGCTATCTCACGGCAATTTGAAACTTTTTAATTTAGTGGCGTATGAATTCGTATAATCTCATTTGTACAATTTAGTATGATTTGTTTATCCCCCAATGACGTTTGGCTTTATTTGACGTTTGGTGTGACACTTCCTTTTTAAAAATCAGACATTTTCGTACAACTAAACTCCCTTTCGTACCACTAAACTAACAAGACGTGAAATAGTTATGTTTCCTCGTGAGATCAGGATGGACAGACAACTCAACTGCAAAAAAGCCAAAACAAAAGTAGTCCATGTGTTGCAGTCACAGTCTTTTATAGTAAACAATATTGTAAACAATTACAGAAATGCTAATCAACTCATAATTTAGGAACTCATTTTTAATTTGAAGTAATGTACGTTTCAGCGTACGTTTGGTAGAACCACACCTTATGTAAAGTACATACAACTACTCATGAAGCCACACTGAACCATCAGACCTTTTCTCTGAAGGGGATCCAACACATACACTGGTTCAGCAGTCCAGCTCCATCAACACGGGACGGTTTACGGATGAATTCTTCCTCATTAAATGCTCAACACGTCTATTTCCAAAAAAAAGAAGGCTCACGTTTGCGATGAAATGTATGTAATGAGGCGAACCACTTCAAATATGCAATGAAAATTAGAGGAAAGCCACATCAAATGGAGCGGCTTGACAAAGAGAGGAAGTTGCTGCCAGTTTGAAGAAAGGATGACATCTGCCCTCTAAATGACATCGTCACGCTGTCCTGTCTCGCTTTGCAAAGCAACAATTACTTCTCATTCCTTAAACGTCTCTCTCGCTTCTCAGTTGCTGCGCGTCCAATGTCAAAACTTGTGACGAGTGAGATTCTCTCAAACTCTCGAAGGTGATTTTTCCAAAGATGCTGGCGAGGGCTTGATAAGAGCAATGGCATTCAGGGTCAAGGATCGACCCCTTTTTTTTTTAGAAAGCGTACGTGAAAGAGAGATCAGTGCTTCATTGCTTTGTAAAGGCGTTTAGAGAACCTTTCGAAACTATTCCCACACACACACACAAGCTCGCAAGGACATCTCGCTGAACGTTTCCTCATCCTCGCCACGTCTGATTGAAGAAAATCACACAAGTATCGCTTGCAAAAAAACGGTTCAGAGATTCACAAGACACAATCGGTGTTTCTTCTCAAGGTTTTTTTCTTCTTCTGTACACTGAGGACTGGAGCATGATGTTCACAGTGCACCGATGTCGGTTCTTGTCCTTGGATCCACTTTTTTTTTCTCAAGTCTATAAGCATCTGGCTGCTGAACACACAAAAAAAGGGGAAGGTACCGGCCCGTTCTCCTGTAGGGCTGATGAACTTCAGTGCTGGTAGAGAGATAAGACAAGAGTCGTTTTGCAGCAAGACGCTTCCGTTTGGCAAGATCGATGACTTCCGGTCTTCTCTGTGGAAGCGGGTCGAGAGCAGTGAGGTGAGCCGCTATACCTGAACTTGAGTCCCGTGATGTGCCTGAAGACACTGGATGCTGGACAGGATCTTCTTCTGATGTCCTGCCAGCTCAACACCCATCTTGTCCAATTCACTGTTTAAGAAAAATAAAAAAATGTGTTAGAATTACAGTTTGTGGAACAAGTTCTGTGCAATCAGATGCTTTGAATTTTCCAGTCTCTTGAGAAAGTGATTTCAGAGTCAACATTTCATTATTATTATTACACATTTTTTTATATTATATTATTTATATATATATATATATATATATATATATATATATATATATATATATATATATATATATATATATATATATATATATATTACATTTTTTTATTATATTATATTATATTATATTATATTATATTATATTATATTATATTATATTATATTATATTATATTATATTATATTATATTATATTATATTATATCCCAAATTGGGTTTGTCTATATTTGGCTCAATGTTGGGTTATGACAACCCAGGTTTTTAGTGTACATATACACACAACACAATAAAAATATAATATACAGTATATAATATTAAATCGATAATTAAAAATAATACTTTAATAAACTGGATTAAGCTCTTTGTGGACTCATCAAAAGTTTTCATCAGCCTGTGTTAATGAGCAATTTGAGGATTGCATGAGAAACAAGTAATGAAAGGATTTTTGTATAAAAATCCCTTAATTAACAAAAAATTAAATGATGCTCACTTCAGGTTAATGCTAATAATGAGAGATGGAAATCCCTTTCCTAAATAAATTGATGCACAAAACGTTACACCCACGTGAACAATTAACTGTTTCCATTATGCTTGTATTGTTTATTGTTGGTTCCTAAGTTACCAATACTACAGTCAGCTGCTCTCACACCCTGATGGACATATTAATAATTGGCATTTGGGATTTTTGATTTTTTGCAAACAGAAAAGATTTGCTTCATGTTAGGAAGAAACCTAAGCTATTGACACAAATTTGGATTAAAAATGCAATCGAGGTTATTTCTAAAATGATAATTGGATTTCAATTTGCAGAACTAAACATGCAATGTCACGTCAAAATAATAAAGCATACTTCATTTTGTTTAACTTCAATATATTTAATATTCTACAAAAAATTTATTCAACTTTCTGATAAAATGACTGAAAAAATGTAGGTTTTTCATAATAATGTTAGCAACAACTAATACATCTTTATGCTAATGTCTGTGAACTACTGAACTACCATAATGAAAAATGGGAAGGACAATTTTTTGTGTGAGATTATATGGCTTTGATGGCCAAATGTGACGTATTATTTACACAAGTTTACATGAAAACAGATATACCACTTGCTGTATTACACATGCAATGAAATGAGGTTCCAAAACCATGATGTCCTGTGATATTCTTTGTGTGTGTTTAATGCTGAATATTGCATAAATTACAATCTTTAAATAACAAGAAAAAAGTAAAGCAGTGTCCAATGTATACTATGTTGTATTCAAAATAGCCTAGCTAGTATTTTAACATATAATACTATCATATACAACTTCAGTATGTGCAGATTCTGTACATTTTCAGTATGGAGTGAGCTAACATACCATTGTGACTCCTCCTAAAATGCAACCAAGCCTCTCATACTGTCATAAATGAGAGATGCATGTGTTGTTTACCTGCTGCTGACATACAGAACTGAGTCCAGGGTAACGTAGCCGGCGCTGGAGAAGTGTTCTTTGTACTGACCCATTTTAATCAAGTCCAGCCAGTCTTCAACTGTGTTGACCGCCGCCTCAGGAGTCACTGGATCCTCCCTGTGGAGGAAGGAGAAATAACAGTCTTATATAATCATGTCATTTCACATCACATCTAGTCTTAAAATCTCACACCCACAACCTGCTGACTCCATATATCCAATGCTAACACTTCAGGAGTTATAAAGACATCATCTGATTGGATGAATATTCATGCCCCTAAACATTGCACTGCAAAAGCAAACTGTGATTGGTTGCTTTACATGTCAGTCACAAAGCCTCAGGTCATTGGCCACTGAAAGCTGCTTTGAAGTCCAGATTTTCCGCTGTCAGTCTGAATTCATATCTAAATCCATAGCATTTCAGATTAATATGGCATATGTCAGGAATCTGTACAAAAATATTTTCCATTGGTCTATGGGAAGTCATGTACAGCAGTAGCCAAATGTTGATGTCACCATCCATCCATCCATCCATCCATCCATCCCATTTAATTTCATTCAAAGTTGTGGTTCCATAGTGTGAAACTTTAGCATGTACTGTGGGTTTCAATTGTGAGAACACTGAATAGTTTAAAAAACGAATATTTATTTATTTATTATTTTTATGTAATTTTTTTTTTTTGCTGTAGCCTTTTTTGACCAAATATTTTTGTCAGGTAAATCCCTTACAGGTTAATTGTTTTCATCTTCCCAATTCAAAACGTTCCACTAGTTTTGATGGCTAATTTAAACTCGTTAAAAGCAAATATTGTGCAAATGCCCCCTCCGCATGTTTTCATTTGTTGTTGAGTTTTAGGCAAAATTCCATTTAGATTTATTCCAAATCCAGGCCGTTTTCTCAGCTTGAAGTGTTGAGGTTGAAACAGTGCTCACAAACACGACAGATTCAAGGTTAACAATTTTTTAAACCTTCAAGGATAGAGCTGCTGCCCCTTAATAGTTGACTAAATGTTAGTGGCTTGGTTGTATACATTTGCAGTTGATGCTCAGTCACTAAAGAATGAGCCTATGTATTCTACATGCAAACATAAGTCTTTCATTCATTGAAAACCGATAAATGTACTGTATTGAAGAAATGTAAGTCTTGTAGGCTTACTTTTGTAACCCCGCAGGTCCTAGACCACCCAACCCGCTCCGACCTGCGATCGAACTGGTGATCTTCTGCTTGGGAGTTGGTTGCTCTAACAAGAATGCTAAAGACCATGGCCTCTAGCATCTGTCGCAAGAGCACTTCTAGAGGTCAGAGGAGTGAGGTTTACCTGCACAGCACTTCACTAACTGGCCTCCATTACACTCCCCTTTGTAAACATAAATCCCATCTGGGTCACGGCACCAATATAACCCCGCCAGTCCTACATCTATATATATATATATATATATATATATTTTTTTTTTTTTTTGTGCTGATATTTATGTGTGCTGTGTTTAAAGTATAATGATCATTCATAAATTCACTTCCTTATTTGAAAACAATGTTGCAATTGTAATTGGTATTCTTTAAATGTTAACATCTCTAATAGCGTAACTGATGTTTTACTTTGTATTCATTAATACAGTGTTTCCAACCCTACAAAGCAGTAACAACATCCCCTAATCCGAGAAAACATTGGACCTCCTTGATGTTTTGTGGCACAAGGTATGATCGGATGGTTTTATCTTTAGATAAGTCTGCTGTGATTCTATTGACACCAACAACATATCCCAGAAATTGATTTTTTTAGGCATGTTTACAGTCAGTCCAGCTTCCTGCCATTGATGGAGAACAGTTTGGATGTCCCTGAAGTGCTGAGCTATTAAGGAGGAATATATGATAATATCATCAATATAAACGAAGCAAATGTTACCTTTTAATTTTTTCATAACAGTTTCCATTAATTTCTCAAATGTTGCTGGCACATTTTATAATCTAAAGGGCATAATATTAAAGTGGAAGAGGCCAGATGGAGTGATGAATGCTGTCAATGGTTTACTCTGGGGGTCCATAGCCACCTGCCAGTAGCCGCTGCCAGAGATACACCAACACTCTCCCTTTTCTGAACCATTCATTTCAGGTTTTTGAGTCTCTTCTAATGCTGTGATGAGTTGATTCAAGTGTGTTTGATTAGGAAGAGGTTGAGAATGTGTACTGTTGATGCGCCTTCAGGAACAAGGTTGGGAAACACTGCTATAATAAATGATTAAAACATTATACTAGCAGTTTTAATGTGTGCAACCGAGTTCATACTTTGTATTTATTAATTATTAAAATGTCCAGGTAAGTTCATTTTTATTTTAATCCCATTTTAATTTTAATTTAGTAATTAAGTTGTAATTTTAATTTAAAACTATGAATCAGTATTTCTCTGCGAAACCATTATCTAGCTCAAAAACCCAAACAGATTTCTCCCTCTGTTTAATACTAACTAAATTAATGTTACGAGTAATTCAATTAACATTTGATTATCGACAAATGTCTTAAATAAACAACTAATCAGAGCCCTACATTAGAGTGCATGTGTGTCTCAGCTTATCAAAAGCTTATCATTGGCTGGACATGTTAGCTTTTCCAGATCCATGAGAGCGGCAGATTGCGCTCATGTCTCTGTCACTCTGTAACAAAGCCCTCCATCATAACACGCCATTAGAATCTCAATCTATTTTATTGACAAAGACATGAGGCAGAGGTTTCCCCATGGTTTGTGAGAGATTCCTGGTTCCCTTTTAATTGTGGCCAAGCACAAGCTGAACAATCTTTTTGCCTTTTATTTGGCAAGCCTTAAAAAATTAGGCAGAGGAACAGACAGGCAATCAGATCTCCCCTGAAAACCCCCTTAAAACGCACACTGGAGGCTAGAAAAATCACATCTGGCCTCAATCTGGATTTGCTGTATATCATTTCTGTACCTTATAGGATTACTGCGAAAAAACACCTCCGATTTTTATCACACACCTGAGAAATATCATGAGTTATACAGTTGAAGTCAGAATTGTTAGCCACCCTGTATATTTTTCCCCCAATTTTTGTTTAACATAAAGCTTTTTTTGTTTTAATTGTAATTTATTTAATTTAATTTGTAGTTTTAGTTTAGTTTTTTTAGTTTTGATAACTAATTTCCAGAGTGTAACGCATTGCACAGTAAGGCGTAACTGTATTATAATTGCATTTTTGGGGACAAATTACATTTTAAATTTTGTGTAATTTGATTACAGTTACTAAAGTCAGTGTAATTGTGTTAGTTACATTACAAATATAGTTTTTACAAGATAAAAATGCTTCTTTTAAAATCACGTTTTCTGCTGCAACGTCAGTTAAAAAACATGGACTTTTAAATTGTTGGAGAACATGGGCTGAAATACCTGTTAATGAGAGTTGTTGTTTCTTCAAGTGGAAATACAGACATTACTTTGATCTCATTGAGCGTGAAAACAAAAACATTGCTGTGAAATGCAGGCTATGTCCAGCTTCTAAAGAACTTTCGACTGCTTTTAACTCAACAACTTGTTCAGGCACTAGACCCTTTTCACATTTACGGGTTTCTCAGTAGCGGAAGTCGTCATAGTTGGGAAAACTTGGAATGGTAAATAATAAATAAAATTTAATTTGCTCAAATAATAAAAGAAAAACTCCACGATGCTGTTATAAAGAGGTTCAGAAAAAGGGAAAAAAAAGTGTGAGACTGAAAATGGCAGCCAGAGGAGAGAATAATGTCAAATTTACTGTCCTGCCTTATAGACGCCTTATAGACATTAGAAATGCCTCACACAAACGGTAATTAGTTTTTTGTAATTTAAAGCAAAGATGATATAATACATACAAAAATACTTGAAAGTTTTTTTTATATTTGGATTTTTTTTGTTAAACATATGAAAATTTACAAGTGACCGTTAAACTCAAAGCAGGCTTGTGAAAAGGGTCCCTTGAATGGAAAGCATTCAATGACAGCCACCAAGGTGGACACTGGCGCCCAAAAAAACGGCGGTCCAAACAGGCTAAATTGGATTTTTGTGCAGGATCGGGAGTGAAGGTATTTTCTGAATGTGAAGCCATTCACATATCACTTCTTTTGCGTGCTCAAGTTCATCATTTCCAACGAAGGCGCGGCTTGCGCACACATATTAGGAGAGCATACTGCGCATGCTCGTATAAGTACTGACCTATCAGCTTCAGGTTACACCCAAACACTGTAGTGTTTTTGCATACTATGAATGTCAATGGATACAGGTATCCAGTTTTCTTCTTTTTTTCTTTCGTGTTCATAAAAAAAACAAAAAAAAAAAACAAGTTTGGAACAAGTGAATGATGAGAGAATTTTAAGTGCAGTTTATTTTGTATGTTTATAGCTATATTTGATATGTTTTAAAAAATAACTTCAAAGTAAAGTAACTAGTAATCTGATTACTTATTACTTTAAGTAATTAGTAATATAATCAGATTACAATTTTCTAGAAGTCAATAATTTGTAATATATTACTTTTTTAAGTAATTTACCAAGCACTGCTAATTTCTAATAACTGATTTTTTAAAATCTTTGCCAAGATGACAGTACATAATATTTTACTAAATATTTTATCAAGACACTAGTATTCAGCTTAAAGTGTATTTTAGGCTTATTTAACTAGGCTAATTAGGCAAGTTATTGTTAACAATGGCTTGATATAATCAATAAAAAAAGCTTTAATATAGCTAATAACATTGATCTTAAAATGGTGAAAAAAAAACAAAAAAAATGTAAAACTGCTTTTATTCTAGCCAAAATAAAAGTAGTAAAACTTTCTCCAGAAGAAAAAAATATGGGAAATACTGTGAAAAATTCCTTGCTCTGTTAAACATAATTTAGGAAATATTATAAAGAAGAAAATACACAGGGGGGCTAATAATTTTGACTTCAACTGTATATTGCATGCTGCTCACACAGACATTTATTGAATTCAGAAGTTCATTTGGCTTACCAGACCGCACTGTTGGCCAGCTGCTTCAGGCTGCTGGGATTTCGGATCAGCCTGTCCAGAGTGTTGACAATCTGCCCGAATTTGGGCCGATCGCTGCGGTTCTTTTCCCAGCAGTCAAGCATGAGCTGGTGAAGCACCACCGGACAATCCATCGGGGCCGGAAGCCTGTAGCCTTCATCTACAGCTTTTATCACCTGAAGCAAAGAAGATTCTTCATGAATACAGAGCAGATTTATTCATTTGCTTCATGTATTTGGTTCTTACAGAGTAAGAAATAATTATTTTTTTTTTTACCCATCTCTGACTGAGAATGAGATTTTGTGCAAGACTGTCTTTGTTAGTATAAATGTTTAATTTCATCCCTTTGAAATGACAGCACTACAAGGACAAGAGTAAACCACAAACATTCCTATTATTTTAAAGGCAGCTTTCAGGAAATAATGCACTTCCAAACCTTTATGATATTCTTTCTTTTGTTAAACGCAAAAGAAGATATTGTGAAAATTGTTGGAAACCTGTAACTATTTACCTCCATAGTAATTGTTTTTCATACTATGGAAGCCAATGGTTACAGATTTTCAACTTTCTTTAAAAAAAAAAATCTTCTTTTTTGTTTAACAGGAAAAAGAAACTCTGTAATATTTTATTTAAAGGAGTGTTCCCAAGACTGTTATTAAACATTTATAATCATGACATAACACATGTCATGAATGGGAATAAAATTGTATCCATGCTTATAACAACAGTCATTAATTTTAATTTACTCAGTTGTGACATTTTAAATAAGTAAGCAAGCAAGCAAACTTCATTGTCCTTGTCATAAAATTTATTATGGGTATCACCATATTGCTGCAGACATATATAAAAACAAATTATAAAAACAATACAAAATATTATAATTACAAATAAGATAAACTCCTGTTATATAAACCCACTGAAACAGGTACAAACAATCTCTTATATTGGTTCAACTTACACTTAGGGAAGCAGTTCATAATCAACACTTTAAGCATTAACTTAGATTTACACTGTACAGATAGGTTGCCAAACCACACCTACAGTATATAAATAAAATAAAAGTCATGACAAATAAATAAATAAAAATCTAAATAAGAAGAAAGCATTAGTGTTTCTTAACAACTTGACAAACAAATACATCACAACCTGTCACAACATAACTTGTAATAAGTCTGCCATAAACATAATTGCCATGAGGCATTATAATTGTGTCATAAATATTTATCAGATCACGTTTTCAGTGGAACAAATTGTATTCCTTACTCAAATGTGTCAAATAATTACTGTCAAATAATGTTTAATAGCGTTAATAATATTTAATTACTTTTAATGGCAAATTTAGCTTGTACCACAATAGATGAAGTAAAAAAAATGACTATGTTATAAAATTCATGACAGATTAATGACTAGTTTTGTTGTCTTGGTCAGGGCTGCACAATATTGGAAAAAATCTGACATTGCGATATTTTGGTTTTCTATATTTATTTCGATATAAACACAATTTTACTATTTTTTTAGCTTAAATAGCTCTATTGGGAACAAACAAAAAAACATTAATTTCTATAGATTTGGTTGATTTTGTAAGGATGTGAATCATGTATAAGAAAAATAGTAAACATGCTGCAAGAACAACTACAATAGAGGAAAGGGAACAAGTGAAATAAAGAGCACTTAAGAGTTTTCCTGCAGAGTCAAACTGCATTCAGGTACAGAAATTGAACAATGAAATGTCAAATAACACTGTTTAGTCTTTTTTGTATTAACAATTAAGTAAATTATTCTTCATTATTATTAATTAATTCAATTGTACACTCCATCAAGGGCACTTATATGTGCTGATCAGCTACTTTTGGCTGTTCCAAGCACAAGGTAAAAAACCAGGGGGACTGTGCCTTTGCAGTGGTGGCCCCCAAACTCTGGAATAATTAGCCTCTCCATGTTAGGCAGGCCACAACCCTTTCTGTTTTTAAATCTTAAGTCTTAAAACCCATTTTTACACTTTGGCTTTTAATATCATATAACAGTCTTATGTCTGTTGTATTTGTCCTGTGTTTTAGATGGTGTATGTGTGTACAGCACTTTGGTGAGCACTAGTTGTTTTTAAAAAGTGCTTTATTAATAAACATTGACTTGACTTGATCAAAGTTACAAATGGTGTACATTATTGTGCCTGAATGCTTTACACTCTCTTAAAAATCCTTTAAAACACATGCAAATGATAATATTTCACTCTGTTAATGGTTATACTTTGCAATGATTTCACAAATCTCATGTATTCTCAATTGTTGATCAACTATAAACCCATCTCAACATTGCATATCCTGCGATGTGACTATTGAACACACACACATTGCGATGTCGATGCTGAAATGATATATTGCAGCCCTAAGTCTTGGTAAGGTCAAGTTGACAAACAATGTAATCTTTGCATTTAAAATGACATAAAATTGACACGTAATAAAAGTTGTCATAAGCATGTCTTGATTATAAAGGTCTTATCAACACCTCTTCAAGTAGCGAGTTATCAGAAACTCAAAGTTTGGAACCACTTTAGGCTGAATAAATAGTAAGTAAATTCTTATTTTTGGGTGAACTATTCCTTTAACTCTGGCCTGTTAGGCTGGAAACATTGAAACGCATGATTGCTTGTTACCATGGCAAAGGAAGAAAGATGGATTTCACGGCAAGTGGAACTTTCATATTTCACTCCCTCGACACAATAAAAGTGCATCCGCTAACAAGCATGCAAACATTTTCGTGCTGCGCTTTAAACATGACGTGTCTACAGTTCTGAATTACTCCCAAATGTCTCAATCTCCTTCCTGAGCAGAGTTTTTCTCTAAATTCCCAAGCAAAGATTTCATCCCAAGGTGAAGATAAATAAATGGAAATGGTTTCTGGTGTGGAAAATCTGCCAAGAGCCCACTGACACGGATTCAAATTCCCTCTTTTAAAGCGGCCTGCGAATTGAAATCTGGAAATGTTCACCCTCCAGATGCATTTAATCTTTTTACCTTCATAAGCCTGGGAGATTTTTTTAAAACTCGAGTCGCACTGAAGTGCCTTGCCAGAAGTCTTTTATTACAAATCAATGAGGATTTGCAGGTTTAAAAAAATAAATCAAGCCTGATGGAAATAGTTAGCAGTGTTGTTGATTTTAACCTAAACTTTTCCAATTAATGAAAACTCTTTTTAAATGTTTCAGAGATGTAACGTAATATAATTGATAGATGTTTTATAATTTAAAGGTAAATTAATAACTAAAGCTAAAACTGAGAAAAGGCAAAGCTAAATTTACATTAAGATGAAAAACTTAATAAAAAATAAAAAATGTAAATAAAAATACCGGGAAAAAGATATTCAAGATCATCAGATCAATAACAGAGCTTTAAATTTGTTGAAATATGCTTACATTAGTATGTGACCTGTTTAATTTTAGAGCAAAATAAGACCTTTTTTTAACATAGAAAACACCATTTACATTGTTCTTCAGTGTAAAATAGTTTATATACCAACAAACATCTTGTCAATTGATGAAATATTTGATAACTTGATTTAAGCCTCTCAGTGCTGCCCCTGAATATTATATATTTATTGTCAATTATATCTTCTTGCTATACCAATATTTAAAAAAAAAAGCCCAGATCTGTTTCTCTTTACATTATATGTTATGTTGAATCACGAGACATTATTTTTAAAACAATTTAAAATTTTTCACAAAACTTGTATTGAATGCAGTCTACAAAATGAATCTTCTGATCTCTGACCAATAAATATAATATTACAATAACTATATTAGCCCATATAAACAATACTGTAAGTGACTAGCTGTGTAACTTGTGTGGTATCTCTCAGATTCAGAATTGACTTACATCCTGATTGGACATTTCCCAGTACGGTCGCTCCCCATAGGATATCACCTCCCACATGACAATGCCGTAACTCCATACATCACTGGCTGAGGTAAACTTCCTGTAGGTGATGGCCTCTGGAGCCGTCCAGCGAATGGGAATCTTTCCACCCTATTAAAAAAAGAACATTCACAATAGTATGACTACAAATATAGTAAAGCTATTGTCGATAACCAGTACAGTTAGCATTGCTACTTTTAAAAATCTTTTTTTACACAGTAGTGAAGCAATTTTCTTATTCGATTTATATATAAATAGTGGTAGAATTGCATGCTTACAACATAATTAAATTTTCTAGGGAAAAAAGTCAAAAAGTAAAAATTGTGATACATAAAATGTCACAATAACCTTTAATTATTTAATTATGTGACTAAAATAAGGATTTACACAGTTATTTTAAGATTTACAGATTTATAGTTATTTTAAATTGTGCTGTTAAGAAAAGATGAGACAAACTCAGAAATATGATGAAATATTTGCCTATAATATATATATATATATATATATATATATATATATATATATATATATATATATATATATATATATATATATATATATATATATATAAATAATTTTTAAAATACCTTTTTCATGTTTTAAAATCTGTAAAAACAGTTTAATACAACATAAACCTAATCTAAAAGATCTTAGTTTAGCTTAGTTAGTTGAAAGCTAATCTAACAAAAGAACAAAGATACATACACTTAGAATTTCAAGAAAAGCTTCCTAATTGAATTTTTCCTTTAAAATAAGGTTTCATAATACAGCAACTACTTAACATTGATCTGTTAGCTTAGCCTAGGTAGAATAATTGGAAAATTAGCTAGCAAGCATGATCAAAAGTATAGATATATACAATAGATATCACACACAGACCCTGACCATGCGCCAATACCGCAGCCATATTTCTACAGTGCTCTCAGGGCAAGAGTCATTCAACCGCACTAGTCAAGACCAAAGCCAATCTGAAGATGCTGGACTTTAGCGCTGCTTACAGGTGTAGTAATGAGCAAACAAAGAAAACAAACCATAAAGGCAGAACATTTCATAGGTAAGATTTCGCTTTTTATGTTTTGTATGTCACCAACAAGTAACGTTATTGATGATAATATAGTCACTGCGCTGACCATAAGGCAAAGTAGCACCAACTTACACTAAATTCTAGGCTTATGATAGTTTGGGTGAATAAAATCAGCAAACAATGTAAATGAAATACGACAACAAGATGCTACGGTGCCAGAGACTTGTATTATTGTTGGCTAAGTGAAGTAACGGCTAGTTGTTGAAGCAACTTATAAGGGTGCCTAATAACATAACAGTGCCTGTGCCTCAATATGCACACTTTCCACCTTAATCATTAAATATTATAAATGCTATACTATTTAGATTAGAAAGATGGATACGCACATTGAGACGCAGGTTTCATACGAGTCAATCATAACGGAGATTCATTCACAAACGCTTCACTCTCTCTATTAGAATTAGAAGTAAAAGCGGAAGAGGGGGTGTGCTTCAGCACACAGATTAGATCAAATATTTGTCGGCAATGCCTGTGCAGTCACTTATCCATTGATATAGAAAAGATAAAACAATATTTGCATACTGACCACAGAGAAAACTGATAATAGATATATGTATATATATATATATATATATATATATATATATATATATATATATATATATATATATATATATATATATATATATATATATATATGTGTGTGTATAAATGTATGTATGTATGTATGCATGTATATATATATTTATATATATGGTGGCTCCGGATGGCCAGTCTTCCAATGCACTTTGGTCCCACGTTCATTTCAAAGGAGCGCTACCCTGTACTAAAATGGCTGCTCTATTGGCGCATTCCTTCCAATAGAGAACAACAGTGTAGGCGACATCTAATGTAGATATCTAGACTGTAAAATTTATGATTAATTAGTCCTGATAGAATATTTTTTGTAGTTAATTGTAACTTCACTGCAAAAACTGATTTTCTTACTTAGATTTTTTGTCTTGTTTCTAATCCAAATACCTAAAAACCTAATGGACTCATAAGGTTAATTTGATTCAGCTTAAAAATGAAAAAGCCCAAAAAGATTCAACTTAAGAGGCAACCAGGGTTTTTTTTTTTTTACAGTGTATGAACCAAGACAAGCTTAGAAATAGACAACAACAATATAAAATGTACATTTAGACAGCTTACAAGTATACAAGCTAGTCGTTGAAATATGTTTCAGCAAAATCATAAACAAATGTATTAATCGACAGAGGAAAATCGCATGCAAACAGAGTCAGAGAAAATCACACACACACGTACGCACATGCACACACGCACACAGTGAGCATACATTTAGCCATCCATCAGTCTGGAATGCTGCTTTGACAGGCCTGTGTGACCTCATTTCCACACTACAGGTCAGCAAGAACACATCTCACTCCCTCAGATCATTTTTCTACAAAATCAATCCATACTTGGGTTTCAAAAACAGCCAAACCAGTTTAGAGCCTCACAACAAAACTGTTATAATATGAAATAATTAAACTGAAACGGAATAATGTACTAGTTAAATCATCCAGAGTACAGTAGTGTGATCTCTCACCCGTGTAGTGTATGCCGCTTCAGGATCGTCCTCCAGCACGCGCGACAGCCCGAAGTCAGACACTTTACACACCAGGTTTCCGTTTACCAGAATATTCCGTGCTGCCAAATCCCGATGCACGTAGTTCATCTCGGAGAGGTACTGCATCCCGGCGGCGATCCCTCTCAGCATTCCCAACAGCTGGATCACTGTGAACTGCCCGTCGTGTTTCTGCACAAAATGAAGAGTTCAGATTCTCATCCCAGTGGCCTTATTTTCTTCGGTGGATCCTGGCACAGGCTGTCAGATTTGAATTCGTCTCATGAGTAATTCATAATTCAAAGGCTCCCTAATTATGAGTGTTGCTCACATGTTGCAGGGCATGACATATTAAACGACTGCATAATCACTCAGGCTTTATATATTGCCATGGCAAGCAAGTAACCAACTAACCAAATGATGATGTTTCATTACACACTCTGGCAAGAAAACTAATTTTTTTGTTAACTAAGGTTGAACTGTGGTAATGGGGTTATAATGGGATTCTGGTGAGACTTCATTTGAATAAACACAAGCATATACAGTATATGTACAATATTGTATATACAGTTGAAATTAATTATTAAGATAAATATATTATTAATTACTACCCCCCCTGAATTGTTAGCCAACCTGTTATTTTTTCCCCAATTTCTATTTAACGGAAAGATTTTTTTCAACAAATTTCTAAACATAATAGTTGTAATAACTCATTTCTAATCACTGATTTATTTGACTATTGCCATGATGACAGTAAAAAAAATTAAAAAATTACTATACATTTTTCAAGACACGTCTATATAGCTTAATGGGATATTTAAATGCTTAACTATGCTGATTAGGGTTAACTAGGCAGGTTAGGGTAAATATGACTTAAAGAGCCCATATTATGGGTTTTTGAAAATTCCCCTCCATGTAGTGTGTAACACAGCTCTAAGTGAAGTGAAGTATCCAGCTAAGGCTTAAATCTGTAAGAATACAGTGTTTAAAACTGTTGATTCATCTATAAAAGAGTCGAATCATAGTGCTTCAAACGAGTCGCCTTGATACCGACTCATTAGGTGTTTCGCCATGACGTACGAACGAAACAAAGTTTTTCACGTGCACGCGCAAACCCGGGAGATTTCAAACCTGAGGCCCCGCCCTCTGACGCAGTAACCCAGACACACACACACACACACCCACAAACACACGCACACCCACAAACACACGCACACAAACATGCCGGTCGATTGAAGTCACACTGCAGATGGATATATTGAGTCTCTACCCAAAGATGAAACATCAGCATTATAACCAAGCAGTTGGAAACTTCTGGAAGCTACATGCTACAAAGAATACTTCATCTGAGTTTGTTAAAGGAAGGATCAGTAAAGAGTAACTGATGGACGTCAGGATGGGTTTCTTCCTACATTTCTCAAGTGTAAGTACGTGCGGTTAAAGTTGTTGCCTCGTTTACTCTAGCTTGCAAATGTATTTAGTTGTGATTTGTTACTTGTAACCGCGTGTACTGTATCAGGTTAACTGGATATATTATCTTATCGCGTGCAAAGTCACGTTAAAAACGCGACGCGTGCTGTTTGTTTATGGAGCTCCGTGCTAGAGTTCTGCTCCCGCGATTTATTCGGAAATGTATTCCCGCGCCGCAGAAATCTGGCGCGGGGAGAGAGAGAGAGAGAGCGAGAGAGAGAGCGAACGAACGAACGAGCTTTGTGTACTTTGTGCTGTGTGTGTGTTTTTATACAGACAGCTTGGCTGTCTGGACTGTATACTGGGTGATTTTTGGCTGTGTTCTCCGCTCTAGCGGGACCGGGCGCGGCGGGCAGAAAACGGAGCGGGTTCTCAGGCTAAAACCTGGCGGGTGCGGGCTGAAGCGGGAGCGTTGTCATCCGGAGGTGTGTGTGTGTTTTTGTGTGTGTGTGGTTTGGCGAGTACACGACTGTCTCCTTCGTTCGGTTATCCGTGGCACTATCCACTCGCCATAGTGTGGCAGCTAAAGTCCACGCCTACACTATCGAGCGTGTATGAACTGTGATTACTTTTTAAATTGCTGATTAGCTATTGGCCATTTCCCTCTCTGACTGAAGGCAGTCGACCAATCGCGACAGACTGTCATCGGCCCAATCAGCGCAGATTAGCTTCGCGCTAAGGAGGGGTTTGGGAACAAATGAATCACTGGACGATTCATACAGAAGTCGCTGGGATAATTAGATAAAAATAAATGCAGATTATAAGACCATGAAAGTGTTTTTTGACCTTGCATGCATATTAGACTGTTGTTGGAGACCCTTACAACCAAGATATGACCTTATTTCATGTATAATATGGGCTCTTTAAACTAAATCAAAATTTGCAGTCAAAATTAACATTGACGGCAAGCCGTTAATTATCCCTTACAAATAAGTACAGACAGAATTATTAGCATTCCTGAATTATTAGCCCTCCTGTATATATCTTTCCCTTATTTCTATTTAATGGAAGATTTTTCAACATTTTGAAGCATAATAGTGTTAATAATTAATTTCTAACAACTGGTTTACTTTACCTTTGTTTTCATGACAGTCCATAATATTTTGCTAGATATTTTTTCAAGATACTAGTCAAGTTAAGATTTTTTTTGTAGAGCAATTTAAAAACAGAAGTGAGCCAAAGTGCTGTACAGACAATATACAACAAAATAAGCATAATAATTTATAAAAATACATAAAATACAAGATCGAATATAGCTAAACTACCTAAAAAACCTATTGATTAAAATAACCAGTTATTAAGGTGTCAAATGGCAACAAAAATATGAGTTTTAAGAGCTGATTTAAATGAAAACAGAAGAGGGCCTGTCTTATTGGCAGTTTCAAATCATTCCAAAGTCTAGAACCTAGCAAAAGCACGATATACTCTAAACTTACGCTTTGTTTTTGGCACAATCAGGAGAAGCTGATCAGCTGAACTAAGAGAATGAGTGGGCTTATAGGGGTGTATCAGCTCAGAGATGTAAGGTGGGGCCAGACCATTTAGCGAAATATTTTGCAGCTATTTTGGGCAATAGCTAATCTACTACTCCCCACATACAGTGCATTACAGTAATCTAAAAGAGTGGTCATAAACGCATGGATTAATATGTCAAACTATTGTTTTGGTGTATATATTGCTTTATTTTTGCCAGTTGTCTTAATTGAAAGAAGCTAGATTTAACTACCGCTCTAATCTGATTGTCAAATTTAAAATCTGAGTCAAATTTCACACCAAAATTTGTGACTGTAGGCTTAATATGCTGAGGTAATGAACCAAAAAATTCCTTTAAAAAAATGACCATTATCATTGCATCATTCTACCTTAATGTATTAAATGTATTAAAATGTATTAAATTCAAAAATATTATTAATTTAAATATTTTATTTTGATTTTAGTTTGATAAAAATATTCATGCTAAATATCACTCCCTTAATGCCATTGTTATAGCTACAGTAGTGTCTCTGTTGTTCTTCGAAATTAGCTTAACCTGCAAGCCGACTATATTTATCAGAAAGACCATTCTGGTTGACATCACCAGATTAGATAACCAAGCCTTGGTGGTCTGAGATGGAAAGTGAAATGTAATGTGAGGGACAAAAAAAGCACGAATAGAGATGTGTGAACGCGAGTTGTCAAGCCCAGTCTGGAAGAGCCGGCGACTGCTTTGTGTTCCTGTGATATTTCACAGCATTTCCTCTGGTGCAAATTGGCCTTCATCATTGGCAGCAAAATAGAGCAGACTCACCTTCAAAAAAGTGTCCAGAGATCCATTTTCCATGTACTCTGTCACTATCATCACAGGCTTACCTGAGGGACAGAAAAAGAGGACAAAAACAGAGTGTGAAATAGTGGAGAAAATAAAGAGAGAGAGAGAAAGAGAGAGAGAGACATTTTAGAAAAGGAAAAGATGCAGCAGAGAGGCAGGGGAAGGCAAGAGCTTTGCATCGTATATTTAATTAATTGCCAATTTCGTCACCTTTCAAAATTTAGTTATTGACCTATTCTTATTCAATGACAACTTATTTACATTATGTGATGTTTTCTTCTAAGTTGTTTACATTAAGACTTTTTTATTTAAAAAAACAAAAAAACATTTATCTACAAAGTTGAACTCTAGCTTGGCTCTATAAGGTTTTTTTTTTTTGAGCGCGAATCAGCATTTCGAATGCACACACGAGGACCAATCAGAATAATCTTTCTTTGTTTCACTGGTTGACAGTGGGAAAGACCAGAAAGAAACACAAAACCAGTTGATTAAATAATGCTGCACCACACAAAATTAAAACTTGAAATTGAGTTGAAACCTGAAACTGAAAAGATGTGTGTAAATGTGATGATTTAGAAGCATTTTTTTACATTCGGATGAAATGTTAAATTTGACATTGTTGACAATTAAACGGTTATTAAAAAATAATAAATAATAATAATAATAATAATAATAATCATGTTAAATATTTATAATTGTGTATTTATGGTAAGTGAAACATTTTTCAGTGTTTGTTAAACTCATTTGCTAATTGTCTGTTTTCTTTTAAAGTCATTAAATTTGATATTAAGCCTTGAAAGGCAAATACTTAATTCATTAATTAATTGGATATAAAATTCAATAAATATAATTTAACCCCTTCAGATCCTGCGTCCATTACAATGGACATCACATGACATCCAATTTTTCTGAAATTTGGAACATAATTCAGGTCTGAAGGGGTTAAAAATTCATATAAAGCACATTATTCAATACATACTACCATATTAATTACATAAAAATTAACATTTGCACTGGAAAAAATATGGCGACACAGTGGCGCAGTAGGTAGTGCTGTCGTCTCACAGCAAGAAGGTCGTTACAGGTGAATTGGGTAGGCTAAATTGTAAAAACGCGTAAAAATGTGCTGGATAAGTTGGCGGTTCATTCCACTATGGCGACCCCGGATTAATAAAGGGACTAAGCCGACAAGAAAATGAATGAATGAATGAATGGACAAAATATTTAGCACAGCCTTGAACAAGAAAAAAATATTCATGGTAAAACAATAAATGACTGTTTTTGAAAGCAAAAACTTAACTCTCAAACATCAACATATTGTTATAATACCAATTTTATTTTTTTTAATTAAATGAATAAGCAGACTGATTGTATTTCTTAAAAAGTAATTCTTTAATTAATGATCCACCAGATAGAACTTTATAATTCCAATCAGAAAATTGTAATTTAGGATTATAAAGTTCTAACTTCCAAGGTTTTTTTAAACCCCAATTTACAAATTGATAATTTAAATTTAGAGTACATTTAGGCTTTCTATCATGTTATTGTATGAAAGAGAACTGTTACAAACATATTGTTTGCTATATGAAATGCAAAAACTTGCTGAAGCTCAGTATCTCAAAATAATTTAGAATACAGATAAAACGTTACAATTCCAAGGAGACGATTTGACAGAAACAGTAGAGTTGGGAGTCGATTTAAAAAAAAAAATCAATTCCAAGGTTTGAAGAACTGAGAATCAGCTAAAAAAAATTGTAATCAAGTCATTCAAGAGGTAGCGAACACATGTTACTATGAGCTATTAGATATGCCCGTGTCATTTACATGCACACAAATTATCTCACCCTCGCTTTATCTATGACTAATACAAATCTGGAAAATCTAACATGTAACTAACAAAAATACATTAAAATATTGAACTGTGGGGGCAGCATGGTGGCTCAGTGGTTATTACTGTTGCCTCACAGCAAGAAGGTCACTGGTTAGAGTCCTGACTGGGCAAGTTCTGTGTGGAGTTTGCATGTTCTCCTCATGTTTTTGTGGGTATCTGCTGGTTTCCCCCACAATCCAAAAGACATGTATTATAGGGGTATAAAGTGTGCATGTGTGTGAATGTGATGGGTGTTTCCCAATGCCGGATTGTGGCTGGAAGGGCACCCGTTGCATAAAACATATGCTGGAATAATTGCCGGTTCATTCCACTTTGGCAACGCCTGATAAATAAGGAACTAAGCTGAATGAAAATGAATGAATGAATGAATGAATGAATGAATGAATGAATGAATATTGCACTGTTTACAGAAAAAACAAAACTACAGTAGTTTTTATTCATCTATAACTTGGTACTGTAAATGACCACAGAATAACTGGGATAAACAGTGGCTTTCCATGCATTAAAGCATTATTTTAAATCTTTATAAAATCCTTCAACACATAGCAATCTGCTGTTTTTCCCTCACTAACTGTATACACAAAGTGATTTGCTGTACATGTCTTATAAACTCTATTAAATACAACATGTCTTATGTGATTTGACATTGCAGGCTTAAGCTAAATGAGCTTAAGGTTTTTAGCTCCACTTTGAATATATGAAAAGATATCTAAAGTATGATGTGAATGGGCTTTATCTTATTTCCTTTTCAACAAAATTTCTCCTTTTACCTAGCTGAAATTGCACCTGCTTTAACATCAACAGATGAACTATTGAGTGTTATAGTTATTTCAGCATACAGCCTGCTTATTCATGGTTTACATTCAATTCAACAACTGTGCACATTCATTTTATAGATAGTATGCACTAAATGATATGCTCGATTGAACCTCTTTTTATAGCTTATTCATTAATGGCAAGGTTTGAGAAGAAAGAACTGAAGTAGAATCAAAACAGCAGCGAGGAATCAATTATTGGATTTTGTTCCACTGATTCCAAAATCAGGACTCGTTTCCAGACATTCTGGAATGGAACAGCCCTAAAAAAAAACAGTGGGTTGAAGAGATCGGTTGCGTCCCCCACCGCCACGACTCTACCTGCTGCCTGTTACTCACACTGACAGCCCCTAATCAAAGCTCTCAATAACAGTCAGCCAGATAATTAGAGCGAGCGTCCACCGAGAATATCTTTGTCCAGAAATACCTAAAATGCTAATGAGTTCCTTTAGGAAGGCGAATGATGAAGGGGGAGGATTTTGGAGGGGGGCTGTGATTAATTGCCCTGGGGCTGCAGAAGAAGAAGGGCTGTAAAGATCCGCTAATGGGAAAAGTGTTCCCCTCACTGCTATGTCGCAGACACAGCTGCAAGAGGCAGATCGCACCTGCGTTGAGGAAAGTGATTAAAAATTCTCCTTTGATTCTGCCCAAATAACACGCTGTCAATCAGAGGTACCTCGCGTGTGACAGGGTAGAGTTCATGCTAATCCATCCTGATTATCAGGGATGCGGGATCGGTGTAACGTATGGCAGAAACTTTCACCTCGGGGCAGCAGACACGTGTCAGGATGAGAGGACGTTTAGCCCGAGAGACACTGAGGATTTCGTTGAGCAAGTTTTCATAGCATGTCTCATCTAGTAGATATGTGGGCTAGAAAAGAGGAGATTCTGTAACCTTTTTTTAAATTTTAGGGGGAAAGACATGGTAGGCTACATGCTATAGTATGTATGAATGAATTAATGAAACAATTTAATCAAATAATAATTGTAATTAATTAGATAAAATGTAAATATTAAAATGTAATACAAAATAACAAATATAATTACCTAATATAACCATTCTGAGCCAAATATTGAGAAAGAACCAAATCTTCTACCACAGCAATGCTAATGACACTCAGATCTACTTAGCTTTACTGCCCATTTCAGCCCCATTGACACCCTCTGCCAATGCATTGATGAAATGTACAGTTGGATGTGCCAAAACTTTCTTCAGTTAAACAAAGAGAAAACTGAAGTCATTGCATTTGGGAACAGATATGAGGTTCTCAAGATGAATGCGTACCTTGGCTCTTGGGGTCAAACAACAAAAAATAAGATCAAGAATCTTGGTATCATTCTGGAGTCCGATCTGAATTTCAAGAGTCAGGTCAACGCAGTAACTAAATCATCATACTATCATCTCAGAAACATTGCAAGAATTAGATGCTTAGTTTCTATTGAGGATTTAGATAAACTTGTTCATGCTTTTATCAGCAGCAGGGTAGATTACTGTAATGAACTCCTTACTGGCCTTCCCAAAAGACAGTCAGACAGTTGGAGCTCATCCAGAACGCTGCAGCCAGGATTCTGACCAGAACCAGGAATTTAGATCACATTACACCTGTTCTCAGGTCTTTACACTGGCTCCTAGTTAAATTCAGATTAGATTTTAAAGTATTACTACTTGTCGATAAATCACTAAATGGCCTAGGACTTCAATACATTACAGACATGCTCACTGAATACAAACCTAACAGATCCCTCAGATTTTTAGGATTAAATAAAAAGAAATTCCAAGAGTTAATTCAAAGCAGAGTGAATCCGCCTTCATACCACGCCCCCCGCTGCTGGAATCAGCTTTCAGAAATGATCAGATGTGCTCTAACATTAGGCACGCTCAAATCAAGACTGAAAACACATCTGTTTAGCTGTGCCTTTACTGAATGAGAACTGTGCTAGGATCGACAGATCACATGATTATGTCTTTCTTTTCTTTTCCTTTCATTTATAACCTGTTTTTAATCTGTTTTAATCACTTTTATTATTTGTTTTTACTTTCTTGTCTTTTTTATTCCTGTTTATGTAAAGCACTATGAATTGAGACAGTGTGTGAAATGTGCTTTATAAATAAACTTGCTTTGCCTATTTATTATAATATATTATTGACATTAACACCTACCAACCCACCAAATGCGGGTAGATTTCAGCTGTGTTATACAGCCACTCCCAAAAGTCGCTTTTGGCCGGTTGAAAATAATTTTTACATTGCCAGAGCTGGCTCATCACTAAAGATTAGAACTTTAGTTTAAAACTGTATGTCACTATGCATGCAAATGCGATCAGCAAAACTGAT